TTGCATCAAATTTTGTGTTTCGAACGAAATTTCGTGTGCAGAATCGTTGCGAATGCTACAAAAGGCTTATGGGGAATCAGTTTTATCGAAAACTCAAGTTTATGAGTGGTACAAAGCCTTCCAGGACGGTCGTACGACCGTCGAAGACATTTCGCAACGCACTACTGAGGTGAACTGGTTTCAACAGCTGCCGTAAACGAACTGTCTGACAGATCGAGCTCATTTTTGGCATAGTAATTAAGGACAGTGCTGCCAAACTACATAAACTTAAAATATCGAAAAATATACAGCGCGCGAATTTTAAATGAGAATTTCCGAAAACTTTTCAGTCTTAATGTATATATTTCTTTTTGAATAAAATTCGTATTTCCATTCAAATATAAAAGTCTTGTTAAAGTCTAATCAGAATAGAGTCTCTTACTTCCTTACTTACTGCAACTCTTCTTCGCATGACATCTAGTCAATTGATAACAGCACCTCCGAACCCAGGCTAGTTGTGAACTATGCACTTTTTCCATAACAACTAGTTTTTCTAATACGACCATATGATAGATATATAATATAATACAATGTGTTTTTGTTTTAATGGTTTAAAATTGTATCTTCAAAGTCTATATGATATCGAGTGATGGTAACTCACGGTTCAAGTTTTCGTTGAAACCACAACAATTATTTATGGTAACAACTGGTTATTTTATTTAATAATACATCCATTATTCGAAAAACTTGATTACTGAATTTGTTCATATTTTGGGATGTGTTATGTGAAGAAAGAGTGTTCATATAATCTAGCGATTACGTGTATCAATGTTTACGTTTGCAAAGGAATATACTTCATGTATAAAATATATTTAATCAAATAAAATTAACTCATAAAAATATAAACGTGTCTAACAAACAATTTAGAATTTTTTTTTTATAAAAATACTAAGACTAATAAAACATTAACTACCCCAAAGTAATTATTACTATCAAGCGAATTTAGCATTTAAAATATCTTAAAAATCTAAAAAAATAAAAATGAAAATTCATAACTCAACTTTGAGATATTCATACCGGAAACATCAATAAGCCCAGAGATATAAGTGTAAAGCCCATAATTTAAATGTACGGAGAAAGCTTTATTTAAATAAAAAATAAAAAGAAAACATTGTAAAATAAAAAAAATTATTACAATTAAAGCACGAAATGGAAAAAAATCTAGAGATACTCGTAATGATCAATTAGTAGCTAGAATACTAGAATGCACGAGGATGGTGAGATAAATTTCACTGAAATTACACGTGAAAGCTCACAGACTGTAAGTAATTTATATAAATTTTTATTGGTCCAGAAATAATTCCTAATCAAAATTCGTCATTCCACAATTACTACGAAACGGATTGTTTAATCAGACTGTCTTGAATTGCTTTTCAGACGAATTGAAGATCACAAAATTAATTCACTTTTAAAAGAAACGGAAGAATATATGTGTTAGAAAGGATTTCGAAGGTGGTTTTATAGAGCAGTGAAAAAATATTAAAGTGAAAGTGACTGATTGAAATGAAGATTATAAAATAAGAGATTATATTAAGTACTCCTTAACAAAAATTAAATAATTAAAATAATTAATTACATATTACTTATGTTAAAAAAAAAACATTTATAACAAAAAAAAATATTTCACAACAAGTATAAACATAATTTATTACAAAATGAAAAAAAGTGAAATTAAATTATTTAAAAATAAAATTAAAATTATTAAAATTGTCACTAAATAAACAAAAATAAATAAAAAAATTATTTAAATTGTTGTTGGTGCTTGTTTGAAAAATTAGTGGTGCTGATATCCTTATCAAGTGTTAAGCACTGAGATTAAGCAAATTTTTGAGGTGTTGTGTAAATATACAATCTAATATAAAAATAAATATAATTCAGAATAAAATTCAAACAAAACAAACCAAAGATAAAAATCTCAATAGCTTTGAAGTGAAATACACACCCACCAAATCTACGAAATCATTCTATGCTGAGGTCTAAGTAAATAGACTAAGTAAATCATAGTGAGTTTTAGATAACGAGAGACGTGTGTGCACATAAAGCGAAACGATGAAATAAAAATTAATAAAATTAAATCAATAAATAATAAATATTTTGTTAATAAAAATATCTGCTGAGATACATTTAGAGTTGAGTTATTGTTTACACGTAGCACAGATATGCATTTAATTGGTGATAGGCAATCTCTCTGTATCTCTCTTGTCTCTATATTAAATGCTGTGTGGTTTGTATTTGCTTCAATCAGTTTGGATTTTCGAAGTCTACTGTATGAAGTTTACTGAATCTTATTTTAGTATCAAAAATTGTCTTTCTTCCACTAATGCATTTAGTGTTCACGTTCATAATAAACTATGTTTTAATATTAACATGACTTAACAAAATAAGAATCAGATAGTTGGAATATAAACGGTTCTGATAAGAACAAAGACAGTTGGGTGAAATATCTGAACGATTATTATAATAACAACAGAAGTCCAAAAAAGGAAACCAATTAAAAAACTTTACTATATACTTCAAAATTTTGAGAAGATTTTCTGTGGCTTAAAATGGAATAGTTAAGCTTTGTATAAACAGAAGATTTTATATGTGATCCTGTGGTTGGGTTTTGGCATTCATAACCCCTGTTGGAAAATGTCGAACCAAATGTACTTCTTCAACAAATGGGGCACTACCTAGGGTAGTAAGTAGGTACTGATGGAAATGAAAAAGGAAGATGTGAAGATCATATTGAAGCAACAAAGAAAAATACAAGATACATGTAAATTGATATTGATAAAGAAAAATAAATAAAATTAGGTACGTGCATTGTGAGAGCGGAATAAATTTCGTATGACGATTATTTAAAGAACTTCTATATTCCAAACTGATCAACTAAATAACGACGATATAAATATACTCACTAACATCACTTTCATATGTATTCCCAGTTATAGGAATATTAAAGGGAATGAAAATATAGATAATTTAACGCGCTTTCATGAACATCTTTCTAGGGCCAGAGGTATACGTTTTGCTTTAGACCCTTCAGATAGAAACCCATTTTGATCTTCTACACCTAGTTAATAACAGGTAAAAGGTATTAAAAATATATAAAATATTCCAATCGAGTTAGTCTTCATACAATAAAATGAGATCCGGAGAATCAATTAATAGGGGCCTATTCCATACTGTCACAATAATTACAATACTCTCAGAACGTTATTGTATAAGATACTACGTAAAGAAATTTCGCTTTTCGTTCAACATTTATTGCAAGAGTTGTAGTAGCTTGGATGAAGAGACACGTTCAAATACCTTATCTGCAACAACAACAACAGAAGAAGTAGATATTTTCTTGACAGTTTGTCAGATTGCTCGTCAGTAAGAACAAAATATCTATTAAACTCTTGTACATAAACATTACTGGTTAGATCTAGTTTATCTATGGAGTGTTCTTGTGAAAAATGTGGTATTAAAACGGAAAATAAATGTTAATATTAAGAGAAGGATTGTTATCTGCCCATCGGCTATTACCGCCAACTGACAAAATTGGTACAAATGGTACTATTTGATATATCTAAAATTTAAGAAAAGATGTTCCAAAGAGGATGTTCAAAACACCGGACACAGATATTTTTGATCCAAAGCTACATTAGTCGAGATTTGAAAATAAGTGGGTAAATATACAGGAAGTAATAATGGTGAAAGTGAAAATGTATGTATGGTGTATGAAAAACAAAGCAGAGTTGAATGTTGAAATAAAGGCTATATGGAAGAAAAGGTAAACATAGCTATACAAGGTTCTGTCACAATAATGAAATACGTGAGAGAAGTTATTATATTCTATTATAAAAGACATCAAATTGACTGGTGTTATCTGTGGAATCAGTACTATAATGACATAATGCTAGTTGGCGTTTTCTTAATATAAGCAATATAAAAAGTTTGCTTAAGCCTCGAGACTAAAAGAAGTAACTTAAATCTTGGGTCCTTTTTTGTTCTTCTATTCTTGGATAACGTTATTGAGTTAAAGCTGAAGTGACTTCCGTTCGTATAACTACATCTCTTGTTAACGCAAGCAGCTCATTTAGCTTAAGGTTGCCTGCCAGTTTTAATGGTACACAAAAATCCTTTTATTAAAAATATTTCGAGGATTGGATCAACTATTGGTATTAGCGTGTTACAGTCAATGGATAGTACTTTGTAGGAGATAATATCGATGTACAATATTGAGCGTTTTTTCTTTATTTTTTGAATAAATTCCAAGCAACTCGTTGGTCGATGTGGTACACAGATCTATGTATATATAAGTGGAAGAAAGTTCATTATCCCAGAAAATTGAACAGAATACCATAACCACGAGAACTTCTTAATTGATGTGTATCCATATCTATATTAACACATCTTTTAGTTCAATATAATCTATTATTACTTTTAGCTTGCCAAATTTAATCCGTTAATCCGTATTTAAAAACTCTCTGGATTGATTTATAGTTACAAGGCCGCATATACTACCAATGAGAGTTAATATCTCTAATGCAATTTGTCAATGAAATGTAGTTTGAAAATTGTTTGTTGCTTGCACGCTCAACTGCGCTCAAATTGTATTATTCCGAATATTGCTGAAATCCGATGAAATCCGATGAAATCCGCTGAATGCCCACAGTTTCTTCAATGTTCAAACAACTCAATTGATAAAAGGCTTATCATTCACTTAGTAAACATGGCGAGCATATGAAGCGCCAGCAAAATAATAATTTATGAAGTACGAGTATACCGTGTGTATGTAGTATATTTGTAGATACATTTATAGAGATATAAAGATACCCGCGAATTCATGCAGGCTCTATCAGTTGTTTAGTTGTTCAGTTGTTGTTTCTATTGTCTTGGGCGTTCAGTTTTCGTATTTCTATTGCCTTTACTTCTGTAAATAAATCATAAGTGTTTGAGTTGTTAAGATTTAAAATAAAATAATAAGTAAAATGCTACAATTATTATAGTAAGTCGAAGATGCTCGAGTGCTTTTAAACAATAATTCAAAAGATTAACCAAATGAGACGAGATAACCCGTTTGCGATAATTAATTTTATATTTTGTTATATTACTTAGTAGTTATATCTCGAAGCGAGATAGATAAATGACAGTTTGGCAAATGAATGAATGGACGCACACTTGATATGAGACTATTTTTGCAAGTGACATGCAGATTTTAATCTTTGGGCTAAAAATTAGTTAAGATCAACGTTCGTTGGCGGAAAGTGTCATTTGTGCGATGTAGCGTGAACAAAATACACGCACAGAACACTCCTGAACAATATATTGTTTATTTCGTGAAAGCGAAGTGCTGAATACTTTGAAATCTGCAAATTAAATAATAGAGAAAACAAATGTTATTAAGTGTGAAATTAATTTAATTAAATAACAAAAAACATAAGAGATAAATAATTAAAAATATAAAAGCATTCATAATACACTACCTGAAATATGGCTGATACGCAGGACTCACCAGTAGTCATGAATAATGTCCAAAAGGACAATAAAGATAGAGAGGAAAATGATAATGAGGAAGATCTTGAAGATGCTCAGACAAAATTACTGGACAATGGTACAGTGAAGACAAATACCATTTTGAATGGTTTAAAAAATGGCGAAAAAACTGAGCAGGATCGCTCAATGACCGAAGATATTAACAAATTATTACGAGATATGCCATTGACGGAGGATATGACATGTGGTTTTTGGATTTTTAAAGGAACATTTTTTCAAAGGTTCGTTATTCTTGGTATTGTCTAAAAGAAATTACTTCAAAAATTGTATTAAAACTTGTATTTTTTATAGATCTCTTTTTTTAAGATCTTTTTATTTATATAAAAAAGTAAATGTATCACTAACTTTTTAAAAATATGTATATCTTTACATATATATATATCTGCCAATATCTGTTAAAAATTTTATGTTGAGTAGAATTAAGAGGTTGGAATTTCAAAATTTATTTCATTATTGAATGTAAAATTTTTTGCATATATATAAAAATTTAGATAACAATATTATTTAATTCTTATTTACAGAATTAAATTATATTTGTGTTGTTTTACATGAATGTTTTCATATTTATTTGTTTTAATTTTAAATTTTTTTTTATATTTCATAAATTATTCTTTGAGTTATAATTTTTGCTCGAAAACTTATATTTTGTATTATTTTATTTTTTTTTATTATTTTATTTTATTTAATTTTTTTTTATTTCATAAAATTTATTTTATATATTTCATTTGATTTTTTTTTACTTCATTTTATTTTGTTTGATTTTATTTAAATTTATTTTGTTTTGTTTTATTCTATTTGATTAAATTTTATTTAATTTTATTTTACATTATTTTATTTTATTTTATTTTATTTTATTTTATTTTATTTTATTTTATTTTATTTTATTTTATTTTATTTTATTTTATTTTATTTTATGAATAAAGTACTCGTGTTGCTGTAAAGCTACGCTTTCTTTGTATTTTATTTTAGTTTATTTTATTTTATCTTAATTTATTTTATTTTATTTTATTTTGTTTTTATTTTATTTTGTTTTGTTTTATATATTATTCAATTTTATTTTATTTTCTTTTGTTTCTTATATTATTTAATTGTTACTAACTTTTTTTATTCTGATTTATTTTATTCCAATATATTTCTTTTAATTTTATTTTATTTTAAAGTATTTTATTTTATGTTATTTAATTTTTTTTTGTGCTCCAATTATTGCAACAAAAGTTTTATTTTAAATTGTTATATATAATTTTTTATTTTATTTTATGATGTTTTACTTCATTCTATTATATTTTATTTAATATTATTCTTTCATATTTTATTTGGTTTATTGTATTTTTTTCTTTTTCTTATTCAATCATTTTATTTCATATTATTTTATTCTAATTTATTTTGTCTTACATTATATTATTTTTCTTTATTTTATATCATTTTATTTAGTTTATTCCATTATAATTACTTTTATTTATTATTTAAGTCTTATATAGAAATATAGAAATATTTAACTCATAAGAACTTCATTTGAGATTCATTTGATTTCATTTGAGATTTAGGACCCTTCACAAAAATAAATTTATGTTATAAATAATTTATTTACTAATATATTATTATTTACTTTATTGATAATTGTTAATCCCACAGAAGGTTCCGTTGAATCTATATTAATCTCTTGAATATGGAATATTTGCTCATTTTAACAAAATATCCCTCGAGAAAAATGCTTACTTTGTATAATTGCATTCAGCTTTCTTAGCAAAATGGACTAAAGCAGCCCGTAAAAACTGAAGTTCATTTTAGTGATGAAATATAGCACTAAGATGATTAATTTTATAATTTAAGTATCTGATATGGTATATATACATATTGTGACTGCAACGTTGGTATTGAATGATTTTGATATAATAATATCAAACTAATTAGTATCATGGTTCCATTGAATTGGCCCATTCAATATTACAAAAAAAAAACAAAGACTTTATACTTTTATTGGCGACACTATATATTACTTACCGCATGGTTAATTTGGTTATACTTGTGGTCAGAGGAGTTGCTTGAGTGTTTGAATGAAAATGAAAACAAAATTTTTTTCAAATTTCTGAAATTGTCGCAAATTTTTACATAAAGCGTCTTAAAAATGTGAATAAAACAACCATGAGATATCGCCACTAAAAGGTTAGTGTGAATTATAAATTCTTGGGATCCTGATTTTTTTCAGAGCTGTGAGCCTTTTTATTTTATTAGAGAAACTTAAGAGATCAATTTTAGTCAAATCGGAGCTGATGAGATTAGAAAGCCTCATCATAATGCGAATGCTTACATCCATAATATTTGTTTGATAAATATGCTTACCATCCTATTCGATTATATCTAATAATTATATTAGGTAAATAAATGCGTTTAGTAAGAAATAGTTTTTACGGTAACCACTTACTATTACAAATAACATTTTAATATATTATGTATATATTGTTTTTGTATTTAACACTTCTAGTCTTTATAACAGAAATATGATGTTTTTTATAATTACAGATTCGCCAATCAAACGGCTTATGTGGTCCTTTACGGTCTCGTAGGTTGTGTTTTTGCTATGACGTACGCCTATTTCAATGGCACGATTACGACAATCGAAAAACGTTTCAAAATTCCATCCAAAAATACAGGTATAATATCGGTCGGAAATGATATCAGTCAGATGTTAGTATCAGCTGTGTTGAGTTATTATGCGGGCAAAGGCCACCGACCACGTTGGATAGGTTTTGGTAAGTAGATATATAACTTCTTTAAAAATCTATAAATAATAATAATATCATTGATATATTCTTAGGTTTGCTGACAATTGTGATATTCTGTGTTTTAACTGCTGCACCGCATTTTCTTTATGGTCCCGGTCAGGATGCTCTGGCGCTAACAGCTGAATTCGGTGCTGTGCCCGATGAGAATACGACAATGGAAGTACTGGAAAAACAACGTACAAAATCGCTATGTAAACTCACAGGTGGCAGTGCAGAATGTGAAATGGGTGATGGCAACTTTGCACCTCAAGTTGTGTTATTCGTGGCACAATTCATATCTGGGATTGGTGGTTCATTATATTACACGCTGGGTGTATCTTATATGGATGATAATACGAAAAAATCGAAAACCCCTGCATTGTTAAGTGAGTAAATGCGTCATCAGTTTATGAAGAGACACGTTTTATGATATATAAATTAAGAAAGAATGTAAGGGAATTAAACTTTATTGGCTGGTAAACTGTTTTACCTAAAATAGTGGTCCAATGTGTTTATTTCATTTTACGTAGATTAAAAGTTATTGTGGCAATAGCAGAGGATTAATGTTGTTTTTAGATACCACAAGTTTAATAAAAATTTCCCCAGTAGTTACAGACAGGCAGACAATTTATCTGAAGTTTGTATAGATAAAAAACGTTATCTATATTTTATTGGTAAACTAACTTGCTAGATGCAAACAAGCTGCTGACGGAAGCATTCATTACTTGAATATTGATTGTCATTTCAGTTATCTTTATCTGTTTATACTTCATGAGATTATGATTTTAAATAAAATTCATAATACAAAATATTTCCTTAATAACAAAAACATATTTTATTGTTACGATTTTTGTTTTGTAATATTAATATTTAATATACAACAAAACGTAGATAAAAGATAATAAAAGATGAAAGTGAAATTATGAAAGAAAATAATTGGGAGCTATCACTATGTGACGACTAAGATAACCTATAATACTCTTTTCTTAACAAATTTTAACAACCAATTCCATATTATTTAACATTGATACATAATAATCTTTTACTTCTTTTAAACCTGTTTCCAATTTTTATTCATTATAGGTCTCTCATATTTCTTGCGTATGTTGGGTCCAGCTGTCGGTTATGCTCTAGCTTCAATATGTTTACGTATCTTCATAGCACCACAATTTAAGCCACTCATAAATGATAAAGATCCACGTTGGCTGGGCGCTTGGTGGTTGGGTTGGTTAATACTTGGTGGTATGCTATTTATATCTGGTATATTTCTATCCATGTTTCCAAAGGACTTGCCTAGAGCGGTGGCACGTCGCATGGTAGAAGAAGATCGTCGAAAAAAGCGTGCATCCACTAAAGAGAAAGAAGTAGATGGATCCATTCTAACAACAAATCTCGATGAAAAGGTGGTTATCGAACCAAAAGCTTCTTTGGGTGATATGATGAGGACTTTCAAACGTTTGCTTACCAATAAAACTCTTATGTATAATAATTTCTCTTCCGTATTTTACTTATTTGGTTATACACCCTATTGGATATTCTCACCGAAATATATTGAAATACAATATAGACAATCGGCAGCTACTTCAAGGTGAGTTCCAGTCTTGTGACAGATAAATTTTATTTATTGAAAACTTTTTTTTTTGTATTCAGTATGGTAACTGGTACGGTGGGACTTGCTTTCTCTGCTGTTGGTGTACTTTTATCTGGTTTTGTTATATCCAGATATAAGCCACGTGCACGCTACATGGCAGCTTGGAATGTTATAGTGGGTTTTCTAACAGTTGCTGGTATTTTATGTTATTCTATGATTGGATGTCCCGGCAATGAACAGTCTATAGTAGTTAACAATAATAATGGGTAAGTGTTTTGTTACATATTAAAAGGAAGTTTAGATAAACTATTTTTTTATAAAAATTTAGTGGTCTCGATAGTGGTCCAACATGTAACTCAGCATGTCACTGTGATTATGTGCGTTATTCGCCAGTTTGTGGAGAGAACAATATGACCTATATATCACCCTGTCATGCGGGCTGTAAGAAAGTACATATTGGAAACAAAGGGAAAAAGGTTAGTGTGTTGATAGATTATTTACTGCTTTAGAGCAGTATCTGACGAGTTACTCTATATGTGTTGAATTGAATATCTATTCGTTTCTAATATATTATGTGTTATAATAATAATTCGGCAGTACAGAAAAGATAGCAAAAACACTAAAACTATTTACCTCATAATTAATAATTATTTATTTATGTTATATTAAACGTTGAACCCATATATCACAGAAATATTACATATTAAACATTTTAATTAAATATCATCTCTTCACAGATTTTCTACGACTGCTCCTGCATACCAACTGGTAGTAAAAATAGTAGTGCTAAACCTATATTCGATCTCCTGACCATTTCGGAACTAACATTAGCGCAAAATGAAACAAGTTGGTTGGAGAGCTCAACACAAAGTTCTTCGCTAACACAACCTAATCCTTCGTCTTCATATTTAGATGTAAGTATTTCAAATAATTTTCCACTATTCAAAACGTAATCAGCACCCATTTTTTTATAGTTTCTAACAGCTGGTCAGGCGATACCCGGTTCTTGTCCCGTAAACTGTTTCACTCAGTTTGTATTATTTTTGTCAGTGATGTGTTGTCTGAAATTTATTGGAGCAACAGGTAGAGCGTCCAATTTCCTTGTCTCTGTACGTTGTGTGCCTGAAAAAGATAAAACAGCTGCTATGGGCTTTGGTATGATGATGATGTCTATGTTGGCTTTTATACCAAGTCCAATATTCTTCGGTTGGGTGCTGGATCGCCTGTGTTTGGTTTGGGGTAAAACATGTACAAATAATGGCAACTGTTGGTTGTATGATCCGCAATCACTAAGGTATCTTTTATCACAACTGTAACTTAAATTTTATAATAAATATATATGTTTGTATTTTAGATATACACTCAATATAACTGCCGCCATATTCATTACTATAGGTGCATTGTTCGATTGTGGTGTCTGGTATTATGTTAAGGACTTGAAGATTTTTGATGAAGAAGTCAAGGATGTCGAAATGGAAATTGTTCAGCATGAAGAAGAATTGAATTCAGAAAAGAAAACAGAAGTTTAATTTAATAATACTTCTATAAATTATATTAAGTAGATTCCTTATATATGTATTTTATTGTACGTTTGTGTGTATTTGTTTGAATGTGTTTTTGTGTATGTGTGAGAATTGTAAAAAAATGTGTTTACATTATGTGTGATCAATATAAAAACTAATGAGAAAATAAATAATAATTTGTTGGATTAAATAAATGTTTATAATGTATTAATTTAAAGTAAATTAATAAATGAAATAAAGATAATATAGATCTAATTACAAATTCAAAAGTTTCATTATATATTGAACAAATATTAGTTGTGTGGTGATCAAAATCATTAAGAAGAAATAAACTTTTTGTAGTTAATAAGTTAATAAACTAATAAATTTAAATTATTTGTTAATAAAATCAATTAATCATTAGTCAAATTAGGTACAACTAAGAAAAATATATGAAATTAACCAAATAAATATAGAACTGAAATAGGTGTGTGCATATCAAAAATTTCAAAAGAAGATGGATCAAATGAAAATAATATTAAATATGTAAAAAAGGATTTCAAATAATATAGTTACTACAAGAAAATCGTGATCTTATTGTTTAATACAAGTCTTGTTATTCAAGAATTAACATACATTTCTACATGCATTCACACATACATAGAAGGAAACATCAAGCTTTCTACATTATGTTTATTCTCACAAGAAATCAGGAATAAAGATTCGCTTTTTCTCTATCTCACTTCACTTCCTTTCACTTTTTGAACGACCAAGTGCCGTTCTCCATTTGCAAAAGCGACTATACCAACACATCTCCGCAGATTACAACAACAACCGTGTTCCTTCACCAATATTCAGATGTTTATACAACGATAAATTCTATAAAACCTAATATCGATATCCGATATTTTGTTTTAATGTTTTAAAGTAGAATTCTTAACAATAGCACCATATCTGAGTTCAATATCTCTGCAAAATTAGTATACCTATGCAATGAGAAGTTGATTCATATCCCTACATCGGTAAAGTCTAGATAAATCTGTTCAAACCTTTTAATACCATGCGAGTCTACAGGTAAGATTATCTATCCTGCGAACTTTTCAATTTGCGGCCAATTGAGTACTTATATTTTACAAATGTATCCAGCTCTTTGCTAACAGAGATAACAACGACATAAGTACGCCAGCGTGATATTATCTCTACTTTCATATAGAACTCTATAAAGATAGACTTGAAAGTTAAAGAGAGTATAAAAAGTGTATTTCAGCTATACACTAAGAACTCGGACGAGGAACTTCTTTGTTGCAAACTATTTTTTCGAAACAATCAATGAGTCATCTATATGGGCACCTCTAAAACTAATAATAACACCTAGAGTTAAGATAAAAAATTGTCATTGCCATAAGTGCTACTATTGGCTCAGTAGTCATTTCAGATGTGGAGTTTTCTTTCGGCGGACTAAGCTTATTATACCGTTTATCATTCCTGTGATTCTATATGTTGGATATGGCAAGCAGATGAAAAATATACAAAGGAAGACTATATCTAAAGTCTCTTTACCAAGGGGAAAGTTATATCCAAGCACATAATTTCCACTGGTACCTTGAAGTTGGGACGCTCATCACCGCTTGTATCGATGTACCGATACTGTATCGATGCGTGTGTGAAGAACATCGTGATGTTAAGCCTACACGGCAGGTAATCACGTTAAACTGTAGACCTTCATGTCTCTATCTACTATATCTCTGGTAGAAACTATTTTAAAAGCTTATCAAATTAATCTTAGTTATGCACGAATCATACTTGACGTATGCACACTCAGCAGAGATGTCTGGAAAAGAATCTCGCCTTAGGCAGATACCTGAAGACGAGTGTCAATCAATTAAGTGAGTAAGTTAACTGACTTTAAGTATTGTTAACTAATAAAATGCTCTCTGCTGTACTAGGGAACCGTACTAGGGAACAAATAATTCCTGTAGTGCTCTGATTGAAGATATTAGATAAATATTTTAGACAGAGTCCCTAGCCTAAAACAGCTTGTTTTAGTGTGTATATTAGACACATTAGACAGATTACAAAAAATAATTTGAATTTAATTTACAATACAAAAATTTTTCATAATGAAATTAAAATTAAATTTTGTTTTTTAATGATGTTTTACTATATAAATTCTTCCAAGAATTATGAAAAAAATTACTAGCTCAGTAAATAAAGACTAAAATTTTAATTAAATAATAAAAATATTATTAGCATGAACTGTAAATAAAAGTTAAAGATAAAATTTTATTTTCGTTTTAATTTGTGTTTAACTGAAGAGGCTATTTTACTTTTGAGATAAGAAAGATTTTTAGATCTCTGTTATCGCAAACAATCACAGAAGTGGGTACATTACATTCATAAAAGTACGAAATTCATAATATTCGTATCTTTCAGATATAAACAAGATCAAAGATGTAAATACCGGTTAAGTGAATTGATTACATTCGGAGTATTACAGAAAAAATATTTCTTTTAACTACTTTTAACTATTTATTGGGAAAATATATATATAGAAAGGCAAGGTAATACATATATTTTATATATAATGGAAAGAGAAGACCCAGAGAACAATAGCAAGAGTAATCAAGGCGAAATTGAGGAGGAAATTGAATTACTTAAGGGACACAATGTCAAAAGAAATTCACTGATAATTAGAGAAAAATCACTTGATCATCAAAATGTCGAGAAGAGTACTCTAGAAGTTAAAGAAACTACCTGTGGTTACTGGTGCTTAAGAGGTGAACTATTACAAAGGTGAGACACATAATACATGTACACATAATACATAAATTATATACATAATAATAATGTAAATATCTTTTAATAATTTTAAGAAAGAAAGAGTAAATGTTCTCTCTACTTATTATAACCACTATCTATTACATTTCAATATTAGATTTGCAAATCAAACTTCATATGTCATACTTTACGGTTTGGTGGGCTGTGTATTCTCTATGTCTTATGCTTATTTCAATGCAACAATCACAACAATCGAGAAACGCTTTAAAATACCCACTAAAAATACTGGAATCATTTCGGTAGGCAATGACACCAGTCAGTTATTTGGCGCTGCGCTCTTAGGTTACTTCGCTGGCAGAAGACATCGTCCTAGATGGATTGGTATAGGTAACTATTGTGGCAGATTATGCTTTAATGTTTTGCTATATACTTTTATAACTTTAAGGCATTCTAACAATGGTTACATTTTGTTTACTTAATGCAACACTGCATTTACTATATGGTCCGGGTGAAGAGGCACTGGCATTAACTACTGAGTTCGGTGCTTTCCCAAATGAAAATATTTCTATCGAACTGAAAACACTGGAAGCATCAAAAATTTTATGTAAATCTGAAAGGAATAGTAGTGAGTGTATTTCGGCTGAATCTGGGAATATATCCCCACAAATTGTATTATTTCTGGCACAATTTGTGTCAGGTATTGGGTGCGCTTTGTATTATACCTTAGGTGTGTCTTATATGGATTACAACTTAGATAAATCGAAGACACCAGCGTTATGGAGTAAGTAAGAGATTATACTGAAATACTTTGTTTATATTTTATTTAGTTTGTGACTGAAGTTACTATTATATATTTATTTATTATATTTATTTATTATTATCATCACCTTATTATTAAGATTTGCGACCTCAGAGATTTTTTGCACACCTTTCGTAGTTTTAGTGTATATAACCAAATCTCTTTTGCTCAATAATTTATAGTATCGAACTTTTATAGTATCGAATTTTATCAAGTGTTATTTCTTATCCAATATAAATTTTCCGAAGTAAATGGAAAACACGTTCCGGTAAGCGAAATTCCGAAGAAGAAAAGGGAGTGTTTTAGTTCGTATACTACACAGTAGGAGTCAGACACACCATTTCGGTGACGGTCGATTTGACGGTGCATGTAGCATTCCACTTCCTCACTTATAAAAAACAAAAAAAAAATCGACATAAGACGACAACCTAGGTATTTCATTCATTTTTTTTTCATCAGTGGCACAGAGTGGTGTTATGTTGTGTGCCTAGTCATACTGAAATTATTTGCATTAAGTCTGTAGATAATCTTGTAAGAACTGAATCATGCTACTCAACTCAATGGACCAGGGTTCCAACTTCTGGTTGATATTCTATTTTCGAGCTATATATGAGAGACAAACAGAATACGGTCTTTGGTTCTTACTTTGTTTTCTACAAAACCAGACAGATCCATTAGAGCAAGCAAGTTCAGTTGGATTATATGTCAACCATCAATGTGGCGTTGAGGTTTCTATAGTAAGTCTTCATTTGCTTGTGTTTAATAACATACAATCCATAAATCTTAATAAGTTGAAAGTCCCTCTAATTATTGTCGATTGATAGATTTGCTAACATAGTATTCTCTGTTTCGATTCTTCTTTCTGAATAAGTAAGAAGAAATCACCTTTCCCGCATCCACATAACGGTTACAAGTACGTCGCTGTTTTTTAGTTTTTTTGGAAATTTGTCTGCCATTTTGTTGCCAAAATTCTATCATTAATTTGGTATTAAATCTTTTTAAAAACGCAATTTCTAATAGAGGAAACCCTAAAATAAGAAAATACTGTACTAAAATTAATAAACCATCATGAGAGATCATAAAAAGTGGTTTTAAATAAGTGAGTTTATTTTAATTATAACAACCTTAAACGGTAGAGGCAAGAATATTTCCATATCTCAGAATAACTGACAGATCTTTAAAAAGAATTTTACTCATGACATTTATTTCAGGTTTATCGTACTTTCTCCATATGTTGGGACCATCGGTTGGTTACACCTTAGCTTCCTATTGTCTACAAATTTATATCACTCCAAAACTACAACCAACTATCAATAACGAAGATCCTCGTTGGTTAGGAGCATGGTGGATTGGTTGGTTAGTGCTTGCTGTTTTAGTTTTTATACCTGGTACATTGCTATCATTATTTCCTAAATCCTTACCGAAACCTGTCAAACGACAAAAAAAGTTAGTACAGATAGAACACAGAGGGGCACAAATACGTCAAGAAGAGGGTTCAACTGAAAAGACTGCTTCTCTTCAAGATATGTTGAAGACCTTTAAACGTATACTGCAAAA